CTGATACCTCAATAGCATAGAAAACGTTTTGTTTTTATTTTGTTTTCTGCTATAGGGGTGTGATAAACTCCGACAAGGCTGTGCTATGTAGTAAGTATCTTTTCTCCATCCTCTGTTGGTGAAAAGCTGAACAAACTAAATGTTGAAAGAACTTGAGTTGTTCTGCAGTTGGTTGCACAACTCTTCAGGCCTCAACTGGTGATTTGTTAGTCACTTGGGGAGAAGCAAATGAATTTGGAGACCCAAGACATCACCCACAGCCATTGCACTAATGGGAGAAGTTCAGGGGCTTTCTTCCTCCTGCAGAGAGTCTAGTTTCTCTGTCTTTTGTGCATAATTGAACTTTTTCTTCAGGAGACTGTGCGATTCTCCTAATAAGATAGTGACTATACTTGTATTTTTCCTGTGCCAACGCAGTCATATTTTATTGTTAAATTGGAAATAAGGGTCATTTTGTTGTTAATTGGCATTGATATTTTCTTGGACAGCCACACCCCTGATAGGCCAATGGACAGTGCTAGGGAAAAAAGTGGTGAGCCTTACTTGAAGGTGGAATAGAAGTTTCTCAAGCTTCCCGGATAATAAGATTGACCTGAGGTGTTAGCTCAATGTTCAGATTTCCAGTCTTTTCCTTTGGGGCTGCTGATTCAGAGGGGTTGGGATAGGTCCTTAGAATACATATTTTAATAGCTATGTGACTGTTATCGTTAGGGAAGTGTGGGAAACACTGCCCTAGGAAGTGTGATTTTGAAAAGGCAATTCCAGTCAGGAGGTCCCTGATTCCCAAATATCCCCCATTGTTCCCATGGAGGTATCTTTCTCTCTCTTAGTCTTTTTCCAACCTCTGTTCTGTACGTGCCACCAACTTTCATTCAGTCCCACTTGGGCAGGTTGTTCTTAGCTCAGATTCTCATGCTTGTCACTGGACCTCAGCCTGGAGTCTCCAGCTGAATTCAAGTCATTCCCATTCCATACATTGCAGTCACAGTGGTACCAAATGATTTGCCTTTCCATGCCTATCTCAACCTCTTCAAATCTTTTGACCTTTTTCATGTTCCATTTTCTTTTTTTTTCTTTTTTTGGGGTGGGGGTGAGGGGCAGAGGGAGAGGGAGAGAGAAAATCTCAAGCAGGCTCCACGCCCAGTGCAGAGCTCACCCCAGGGCTTGATTTCACAACCCTGAGCCCAAATCAAGAGTTGGATGCATAACCAACTGAGCCACCCAGGCACCCCTCATGTTCCATTTTCTGCATAGAATGCCTTCTCTCACTAGTTTGCCATTGCACTTCTTTCTGTTTCTTCTTCAAGAGCTCAGATGTCACTTCCTTAGGAGTCTTCCTCAGCTTCCTTAGGCAGAGTTATTTCTTGTCTCTGTGTTCTCATGACATGCTGGATTTCTCTTACCTGTAACGTATGTTAGGTTGTAATGATCTGTTTACTTTTGTCTCTCTCAGTAGGCAGCTTGGAGAGGGACAGTGTCTTCATATTTACATTCCAGTGTCTAGCAGAGTGCCAGGTACAGAGTAGGAATTTTATAAGTATTTGCTGAGTGAACTTTAGGCTTTAATAATTATATATTAAATGATTATTATCAAATAAAAAATATGGATTAGTTTATTTATCTAAGTCCAGATGTTCATTTATTTGTTTACCCATTTATTCAGACAAATATCTGTTGGACCCCTATTATATGCTAAGCATAAGTGATTCAGTGATAAGCTAAAAATATACATCATCCTCGCCTTCATGGAGCTTTGAAGTGAGAGAAATCTATTAATACAGTAATTATGAAATGAATAGACGATTTGCTACAATGAAAAATACCAAGGGTAGGCATATGGGGGCAATGAAAGAACATAATGGGGGGTGGGGGGTGAAAACTGATCTAAGTGCTGATAATGAAAAGGAATTATCCAGGGAGAAAGCAGAGTGAAGAACCTTTCAGGCTCAGGAAAAAAGCCTGTTTAAAGGCCCTGGGGTGGGAGAGAGTATGGTAAGAACAAGGGACTGAAGGATGGATGGTATGTGTGGAGCAGAGAGAGCAAGTGGACCCACAGCCTGAGAAAAGACTGTCACCTAGAGGTTAAGAGTTTTCATCAGCCCTGTTGAGAAGTTGTGTCTTTATTCTAAATGCAGTGGGAAACCAGTAAAAAGAAACCTGAGTAGTTTGGCACGTGTATAATTGCAGTTTTGTAGGGATTTATACCTATCAAATGGTGATTTGTTTTACTATTTATTTTTGTTTTGACCATGCGGACTACTTCAGGAGAGGAATCCTGTCTTACATTTCTTAGTGTTCCTAGCCTCTGGCACCATACAATAAATAGAGTGGGTGACCAAGAGATGTGTGTTTCTTGTTTTATTTCACAATCTTGAGAGTTGAGGCTTTTTGTAACCACACTTAGAAAGAAATTTAGTTAACTGGATCCACTGGATAGCTTAAAATGACATAACATTTGTGTTTAAATTGGGAGAAACATGTTTGATATGGTGAATGGACAGCCAGTTACCCACTACAGTCTTAATCCACGAAGACCGTTTCGTAAGTGCGCAGGAAACTAGTCAGCATTAGTTTGAGAAGAACCTGTTTCCCTTGCTTAATAAAGTCATTTTATTACTGATGATGCTTGGGGTTTTGCCATTAAGAATCAGTGCTAGAGCTGTAATGATGCTTTGGACTTTAAAAGAGTCCTTTTTGAAAATGTAGATAAATACCTAATTGGGAGTAAAAAGTATATTAATATTTATCAGCAGACATCTTTGGGATAGTTTGATGGGGATTTAAATATAAAGGGAATTATGTATCAGGGGAGAGCAGGGGCATCAGTGATGTGAAAACGAAGTCTACTTCCTCAGTTTTGCTTCTGTGGTCGCCTCTAGAAACGGAAGTCGTTTTGTGAATAATGGCGGTGATCGTGCCACTGACCGAAGCTGAATCTGTCTGGACGTTGGTTTCACAGTAAAACAAAGAGTACTTTTCTTCCTAATCTTTTGGACACTATGAAGTTTAATGATATCAATGAGGAAAAGTGCGATGGACTTTGGGAGATGAGTTGCTTTGTCATACTAGCTGAGCTGGTGGCATCATCTACCCAAAGCCTTTGTGATTCAATGGAGTTCTCAAATCAACTTCTTAGAAACAAGTTCTTTTGTAAGGCCAGGATTTCATTAGAACATCAGTGTTCTAATATTAAGTGTACTTTCTGATCTTCCCTCAGATTTTTTCCAGACTTCTTTATTTGCCCCATTGCTCAATTAATTTCTAGTTGCTGTGGGTGGGGGGAGGGAGGAACTCAAACGAGAAAGGAAACCTTTGTTGATGTTTTGGGGCAAGGGTGGTTTTTCCAGAATATTCCATGATGATTTGAAAAATTGAGAACTCTGTGCATGATGGGGACACATTTCCACCACGCACATTCACTCTTCTTATTTCCCTTTAGGGCTTTCTCCACTCTGCCCTGTGGATTTCTACAACATCATTTTCATGTTTGGCAATTGTACCTCATTAAATGAATTACGACTATGGCAAATCTTGAATTAAAAATATTTTTAAGTGAATAAAGCCATTCTTAAGTTATTAAATGTAACTGCTTTATTTTCTTCACATATTCACAGGAGATGCCATAGATCTTATTTGGAGTTTTAATAAATTTTTAAGAATCACCATCAAGGAATAAGGTTCTGATTACTCAAGCAACCACACTAACCAAAAATGGATCCACTTTTTTTTTTTTTTACCCTTTCCTCTGAGAGATGTTCATCTCAGGTCCTAATTTGCCCAATAAGTCTGAGGCAGTGATTAGCAAACTAAAGGCCAAATCTGGCCAGCAGCCTTTTTCTGTAGACAAATTTTTATTGGAACATAGCCATGACGATCTATTTAAGTACTGTCTATGACTGTTTTTGTATTACAACTGAGCACTGTTGAGCAGTCGCAACAGGGAACACATGACCTGCAGTGCTGAAAACATTTATTATCTTACAGAAAAAGTTTGCTGACCTTGGTCTAAGATAATGTTTCTGAATATTCTTTGACTATCAGTTATGCTAGGAGCTCCCTGAAAGCAGAGACCAAATACGATTTCTCTTTGTATCTTTAGTGCCTATGACACTGTCCTGTTGTAAAGAAGTGCTCAAGTCCAGAATGAATGAAAGTAACCTAATGCAGCTGCATAAATAATCATGCTTCCCCCACCCCAACCTTAAAGACTATGGGAAAGAGCCACTGAAAACCAGGCATAGGGTGATTTTCTACTAGGACAGTTTTGGGTTCACTTTCAGGAAGATCTGTATCGATTACTCTGATCTTGGTGTGCTGAACAGGGTTGCTCCTGTTCTCATTTCAGCAATTCAGGGATGGGAAGGCAGGGATGTGGGGGAGGGACCAATGCAACTTTTGCTGCCTCAAGAGAACTGGGGCAAAGGCATTTATGAGGAGGTCCCAGTATTCAGCTGCTGGGCAGCATGATCAAGGAATAGCTAAACTGACATCTTGGGTTGTTTGTATTCCCAAAAGCACTCGCCCCAGCAGGCATATTCTGTCTTAACATTCGGTACTCTGTGAAAAAGGAGATGTTTGGGAGGCAAATGTAGCCTGTTCTCTGTACTCCTTCCTTTGTTGCTCTTGTTGACTTCCTCTACATATGTAAATGTAGATTAGTTTTTGTAAAAAAAAATTTATAGATCTAATACCTTGTTTGAATAGGCAATTGGAAAGGGCCCAGGAAAATACTCTTGGCCAGTTTCCTTTAATAACCAAGCCAGAGGTGGCAGTTACGTAGGAAGTTTATTACCACCCTGGCCCTTCTACTGTCAGACATCCCTAATAGATCCCTGAATGCTTTCTGACAGACACAGCCTCCGAATCCTTCCTAAAACGTTCCAAGTAACTGCCACCAATTGGTCAGAATTGGCACACAAGATGAAACCTTACTTGCCAAAGCTGGTTTTGCATATTTCTAGGTGCAAGGATCTCATTCCGCCTTTTATTTTCTTCCTCAGCTCCTCATGTGGAAATGTATCCAGGCCCCAAAGGTAGGAACGGGGAAGGACTGGCAGGCAAAGCAAGGCATTCTCGGCAGAATGCGGAGCACAAATAAAGATTTGAGGTGACCAGCTTTAGTAACGAGGAGTACACACTGCGAAGTCACATGAAATGGACATGGAATCAGAAGGAAGAGCTAGATTGAGGTAAGCATGGGCATCTAGGCCAAGACATTTGAATGCAATTTGGAAAGTCAGTGCTTCCGAAGGCTGGTAAGGGTATTAGGGTTCTCCAGAGAAACAGAACCAATAGGATAGAGAGGTACACACACACACACACACACACACACACACAGGGGTAAGGGTGGGCATTTTTTTTAAGGAGTCAGCTCTTGTGAGTGTGGAAGTTGGCAAGTTCAAAATCTGCAGGGCAGGTGATCAGGCTGGAAATTGTAGCAGGAGCTGATGTTGCAATCTTGAATCCTACAGCAGTCCGGAGGCAGAATTCCTTCTTCAGGGGACCTCATTCTTTTCTCTCAAGTCCTTCACCAGGTTGGATGAGGCTCACCCACATTGTGGAGGGTCAGATCATTTGCTTTGCTCAAGGTTTACTGATTTAAATTTTAACATCTAACAATGATGTCACAGAAATTATTGGCTAGAACAAAGTTTATTTAAGTGAAAGAGAGTTGATTTAAAGAAAATTATTAAATAAATTTTGCGTGCAGTTGGTATAGGGATATGTCGAGTATATATGTACTAAAATGGCTGAGGTCAGAGAATGGTAAGTGACCGAATTGCTATACTCTTGTCACAAGGAAATGTCATAAGGAAATGGTTTTTTTTATAAAGATTTTATTTATTTGTTTATTTGACAGAGAGAGAGAGAGGGAACAAGCAGGGGGAGAGGGAGAGGGAGAAGCAGGCTCCCCGCCGAGCAGGGAGCCTGATGTGGGACTCGATCCCAGGACCCTGGGATCATGACCTGAGCCGAAGGCAGACGCTTAACGACTGAGCCACCCAGGCGCCCCAGAAAATGGGGTTTTAAGGAGATTAATTCTGCTGCCTTGAACAAAGGCCATGGACAGAAAATATTCACCAACAAATAATAAATATGAAAATGTTCTCTCCTGTTATAGTAGTAAAATCATGCCTTTTCTAAAGATGCTAACTTTTTGCCAAATTTCGCAAATGTAATTTTCCCAGTCTGCTTTTTAAAAAGTAGTTGTTTGTGCCTTTTTTTCCCCCCCAACAAATAGAAGTTTTAAATTTTATGTAATCTTAGTAGTTGGGTCTTTTCCTTTATGATTTCTTAAAAGGATTTTAAGCTCAGAAAGTCATCTGGTTTTTTTTTTTTTTTTGGTATTTTTTTTTTTTTTTTTTTTTTTATTTATTTATTTATTTATCTGAAAGAGAGAGAGAGAGCAGAGGGAGAGGGAGAAGCAGGCTCCCCACTGAGCATGGAACCCCATGTGGGACTCGATCCCAGGACCCGGGGATCATGACCTGAGCTGAAGGCAAGATGCTCATGACCCCGGGATCATGACTTGAGCCACCCTGGCGCCCCTCATCCTGGGTCTTAAATTCACAGGTCTAACACCTTGTTTGGGCATTTGGAAAAAGATAACTTTAAATATTTAACTTTTTGATGTATCTGGGGCTTATTTTTTTGTACCCTATGAGGGATGCATCTAGACTAATTTTATTTTCCTTAAATTCCTACTCAGTTACTCATGTACAAGTTCCTTTTTGGTGATGTCATTTTTATTTTCTAGCAAATTCTTATATGGATCCAAATCAATTTCTGGACTAGCTCTGGTCTGTGTTCTGTATCTATACATTGTTTCTTTCAGTATTAAATTACTTTAATGATATGATATGGCCTTATATTTAAATATGTAGTGTGGCTAGTCCCATCTCATATGCTTTCTTCAAGGTTTTCTGTGATAAACTTATTTTTCTTCCTGAGAACATCAGAATCTACTCAAATTCTCCAGAAGTTTCATAGAATGTTAATTGGATTTTGTGTAAGTCATTATGAGGTTTATAATGAATTCGGGTATAATTCATTCTGTATGAATTTATGCACATTTTCAATCAACTTTTGATGTTTGTGACTATAGAGCACAGATCAGATTTCAGTCAATGAATTAATCTAAAATAATAATGAAGACATTTTATCTCCATTGCCCCCTTAACTTGAGCAATTTAGACGTATAAATAGCCAAATTGAATTTAATTCCTTTCATTTTTGCACCTAAATGTCTGGTCTAGGTGTAATCCAACAATCAAGGATCCAAAGACTGGCCTCAGGGAGCAGAATTAAAGAAACAATGATAAATATTGTCAGTGAAAGAATTTAGAAACTCTTGAAGGGTAATTCACATTTCAACTTTTAACTTTCATATTAATTCCCCAGGACTTCAAATGGAAACCCATGATCCCTTCTGCAAGGATCTTCACCTGGGGTGTTTTAAAATTTCTTTTTCTCATTTCCTTTGCCCTTCTCATGCTGGTAGTATCTGAACAGCCTGTTCTCCTGGCTCTGGTTAATTCTTGGTACTCTTGAATCTCTCCTGACAGCAGAAAGCAGTGATCAGACAGGTTGAATGATTCAATGGAAATGTAATCTGATCTCATCTTGGCCATAGGTAAGAAGCAAACTGCTGTGAACCAGAATTGTAATGCTGGGAATTATCTGACTCCTGCAGCCCTCTCTTCTTTCTCTGCCCTGGTGAATGATGGCTGAGATTTGAAATTTAAGGCATGTAAAACATGGTAAACATCAATTTGTTGACTTGGCCATTGAACCGGACATCTTGCCTTCTTGCAGGTAAAACTAAAGATCACAAGTTCTAGATTTTATTTATAAGGGCAAAGCATTGAAGTGTATCCACTTAAGTTGCTTCTCGATTCAGGGAAGTCTTTTTTCCTTTAAACTATTCTTCTAGCTTTGGGGCTGGGTGCAAGAGCAAAGCAAAACAGCAACCAAAAAGCAAAGGACTCTCCAACAATAGAACACCTGAGCTGCAAAGATGGACGACCTGTAGAACAGAGTTGACATGATGTGATCAGTCAGTTCCCAGATGTGAAGGAAAGGAATCCTCTGCAGCGGACTAAGGAAGGCCAGTTACAATGCAGGGAAACTGAGAACTGGTAGGAACAGGTGGAGAAACTTACAGGAGAAGAGAGAAAAACTGGACATAAAAGTATAAGAAACAGAAAACACAGGAAACTTCAGCGTTGATGGTGACCCATTACACTGCTGGCCCCCAGTGATCACATCTCCCTGTATTTGCCCTTGTGTAGTCCTCGCTCTTTGAATTGGAATAGGGCCCGTGACTCATTCTGACTGACTAGAAGTGGTGGAGTGATGCTGTACACCTTCTTATGTCTATATAGGAAGACTTAAGAAGTTCTGCTTCTGGGCTCTGAGTCCCGATCTGCTTTATAAGGATTCTGTTACTCTGCTGGCACTTTGTCGAGAGGCCATGGGAGAAAAGCCCAGCTATTCAGTGCCCAGCCAAGCCCAGGCCCCTGCTGACCGAAATCCATAGAGCGACCATTGGCAAGGTCAACAGAAGAGTCATCTGGCTGAGCCCGGCCCAGATTACAGAATTGTGAGCAAATAAAATGGCCATTGTTTTAAGCCAGGAAGTTTTAGGCTGGTTTGTTCTATCACAAAACATAACCATTTGTTATATCACAAAAACATAATGGAGAAGCATCAAGGACCAAGGCCCAGGGACTCTGCTGTCTCGGACAGCATGGTGCGGAGGGAAGATGCAAGCCTGGAACCACAGCAAGCTTGGGTCATAGCCTCACTTTTTAGCTTTTTGCTCTGTGGCCTGGGGCAAGTTATTTAGTCTTTTGGGGCTTCAGTTCTGTTATCTGTAAAATGAGAAAAATATTTCTTCCTTCACAGGATAGTTAAGAAATGAAATGAGTGAAAGTTTGGGGCACATATTAAGTACCCGCCACACATGAGTTCTGTTCCATTTCCTCCTTACAGTTCCCTCCCTCACCCCCCCACCCCAGGGCTGACCTAAACTGCATTAACCCTTAAGAGTAGTCCTGTGCCCTGCTAAAAGGTCATTCTGTCATAGGTTGGTTTTGCACTGTGTATGTAGTTGATAAACAACCACTACATTTATATGAAAAAGAAGTAATCCACTAAATTGTAAGTGATGGATTTTTTTTTTTTTTTTAAATGATGGTAGCTTTTGGGGCCAGTGTGCCTTTGTGTCTATATCCTGGAATACACCTGCTCCTCTGGAGTACCACAGCTTTTTATTAGACTAAGCTTGGGTCATGAAGGAACATTACATTCAGTTTATTTTATTGCAGATGGAATGAAGGCATGCACTAGATTTCCATTAGATTTTCACACAAAAAAATTTCTATTGTTTGTAAAGTTTACTTAGGCAAAAATTGCACATTTTGAGGCAGCACAGGATAAAATTTGGTTCTTATTGAACCCCCCACCTTCATACTAGAAGGTAAGTTAGGACCCTGGAAAGAAAGAAGTCCCATATTGAGTGTCTGAATTATGTTAAAACTGTGCAGACTCCAAGTTTCCAAGCCTTCTGAGAGAAAATACACATATACATCCACGCACTCACATACACAAATGCACACACATGAATGAAAGAGAGGACTAAGGAGAGAAGAAGTAAACCTGCCATGACCTCAGTTTCCAATTTGTAAAATGAGAAAGCCAGACTAGAAGGTTCTCCACAGCCATTTCCTGCTCTGAGTGTAGCAGACATCTCAAATGCTGGACCTGTATTAGCCCTTTGTGGACAGGGAGATGAAGAACACAGGTTGCTCTCCAGCAAAACTTTAATTGCAGAGCTTTAATTAAAAAAAGAATCAAAATTCTCTTTCAGATTATGTTTTTTTAAATTTTATTTTTAATTGTATTTTTATTGTTTCCATTTTATTTTAAAAGAGAAATGAAAGCTGCAGTTTGCCAAATTGCTGCACACTTTTTCTCGCCATACAACTGCCCTAGCAAGTTAACCTAAAACAATTTTCTAAAATGTATTTTTAATGAGAAGCTGAGATCACTGAAATTTGTCTTGAACTTTTTTTTCCCTTTAGACCTCTTACAGGGCTCTGGAGTTTCCATACCTCAGTGCCAAGAGCATGGCAAATGAATTCGGCTCAGCTTAGTAATTACCTTGTGCTAGTCTTGCTCAAAGTTGTTTTTCTCTTAATGGGTTAGGAGGGCCATTCACATGCTTTGATTCTAGTCATCAAAGTTCCAATGGGGAGGGTAGGTGAATGTATATGTAATGTTTAGCCTATAAAAATGGCCATATCCAGAGCTTATGCAGAGTAAATTCTTACTCAGGGACTCTGAATAAGGGCAGGTCAATGTGGAAGAAAGCATGAGAAAATGAAAGAGCTGAAGTAATTCTGGGAGTATCCTTCCTTCTCCTTCTCCAAATTAAGTCTCACAATTATAGTGGACTTTTACTTTTGCCCCCTCTCATGGCATGAGGGAAAGATCTTCCCAAAGTCTCCCAGTGTGCTTCCAGAATGCTGACTCACTCCCAGACTCCACAGTGGAGCATGGACATTCGTTTCTCAGACTTTCTGTGGTGAAGGACCAGTTTGCTTCCTCTCCCACTCCCCCATCCACCGTGGGCTGATACTTGCACAAAATGCAGTACAAATGAATCACTTAATAAAATGACACAAAAAACAATGACAAACAAAATACAAGTCTCAGTTTTAATTATTAGACTCAATTACTCTGTCAGATTGTAATAGAAGTGTCTATCATCCTCAATGTCTACACTTGTTGCAGAAGCTAATAACCATGTGGAAACAAGTGCTAGTCCATGGACCACACTTTGAGTGTACTGGCTAAGACCAGGCCAGTAGTATTCTCCAGTTACCGGTAATTATCTCAGGAGTGTTCTTATGACCTGAGCTGGTGCCATTCACCTGAATATTGGGACTTTAGTTGAGAACACTGGGGCAACAATTGTCTGTTTTTCCTGGCTGGATGCCATCTTGGGACCACAAGAGAAGCGGCTTGGGAATGAGTCAACACTGAGAAAGCAGAACCAAGGGATAGTGAGTCAGAACCCGGATCTACTCCTATATTGCAGAGAAATATAAGCCAATAAATTAAAATTAAAATTAAGCAAGCCAGAATTCATCTGGTTGGCTCTCATCTGCAGGGGGGTCTTATGTGATACCGTGATTAACTGGCATATTTCTTCATGAACTCTCAACTAGTTTCTCTTTTGCCAGTCATCTTTCTGAAACAGAGTATGCCATTCTTCTGGTTATGAAGCTTCCCACTGCCCTCAGTACAAAGTTCAAGTTTCCTTAAACTGTCACTTAAAGTCTTCCACCGTTGATTCCCCTTCTACTTTTTCAGCCCAATTTTTTGCTACTCTCATCCTCAGGCACGTACCGTGCTTTAGCGTGACCAGACATGTATTTTTATATATGTTCTAGGTTTGCTCATGTTCCCTCTGGCTGGACTGCACTTACTCTTCCCACGCCCTTTTCTGACTTTCTAAGAATAGAACCTTGAGAACATAAGGTGTCCATTATTCTGAAACATTATGCATCACCATCATTCCTGCTGATTCAAGGGCTAATTTTGCAAGTGTTGGCAGGAGGGCAAATTGATGCACCCAGACATTTGATAAAAGTTGCATTGAGACCCCAGAGATCTCATTTC